CCACATCTCGACCGCTTTTCAATGCACTGTACCATTCATATGCACGTGTTTTTGATAAAGTCGATTCACCGTAAGCCTTCTGTAACATCTTCAGCGATTCGGCACACGAAATTCTATTTGCAATACAAAATTTGAGACAAATTCTTTGTTCGATCTTTTCATTCATTGTAAAAATCGCAAAACACACTTGAGATGAACTGATAAAATCGAGCACGATAATCACATTAAATGACAGATGGCACTCCAGCTCCGCGTCAGTATAGAGGACAGTTATGCCAACTTAGCGACAAAAAGAATTTTGACAATTCCTTTAAGCGGGCTTTTTAAATGATCAATTCCCGGTACTTTTTTGACAGAATGTATTGCCCTCCCCCTTACTTCTCTCCAGCTCCTTCCTCCATTATCCCTTAAATCGTCCTTCCTTTCCTCCCATTTCCCTCTATCCAATGCCTTTCTTTTACTCTACTTTCCTATATCTCCTCTCTCAGCGCTATCTGTCTTATGTTCCACCTTGTCCTTCTTTCCTCTCATGTCAAATCCTCTCCTATCCACACCTCTTTACCTTTCAGCTTCCATTTATTCCTCAACATCTCTCTTTTCATCTCTTTACTCCCTATTTTTACTACCCACATGATCCCTCTTTTCTACCCCATTCTATTTTCTTTATCTCTTCCACCCCAACTACTATTCTTAAATCTTTCCATAATCTCTCCACTCTTTTCTTTACATTCTTTTTCTCCCCCTATCACTCTCTTTATTATGATATTCCCCCCCCTCTCTTTCGTCTCCCATGAATATTCTTTTTAATTTCCTAACCTTTTCCTTCCACTCCTCCCCTTCTCTCTCCTTTTTTCCCTCTCTTTTATTCTTATCTTTCTTTATTCTCTCTTCCCTCCCCTCTTCTATCTTTCCTATCTTCATTCTCTCCAATTCCCATTCTATTTTCTCTATCCTTCCTTTAAATTTCCCTTTCCATATTCCATTCTTCTTCTCTAATCTTCCATTCTTCCTTGATTCTTTCCACTTCCTTCTTCAATATTTCCTTCTGATCTTCTGTCGCCTTTCTTATTTTCTCATTCATTATTTTCATTCTTTCCCTCACCTCTGCCTTTAATTCCTGCCCCAACTCCCCCATAAGTTCCTTCATTTCCTCTCTTATTTCCTTCCCCACTAGCGATCTCACTAATTTAGTACTCCTTTTAAATAAATATATATAACTATACGCAATTGTATATAAAATATGTCCATTTATATAGAATGATATGTATTTTTATATAATTTTATATAATTATATATAAAATATTTTTTCCCAGGTGGGAGGCTAAATGAACATCCAGTTAGTTCCCCAATATCTTAAAATTCATAACAAGGAATCTCTGATGAGAGCATAATTAGGAATTCTTTGTGAACTCTTAAGGTAGTTATACCTCTAACTATACGAGTCAACCACAGACTCAAACATGACTCTAAATTTAAAGTAAATATATCGCTATGTAAAATCTAAAAAAAAATAATAAAACAAAGTATTTTATATACTTATAATATTAAATCAAAGAATAAATTAATTAAAAGAAAAAAAGGAAACTTCCGTATTCACGTAGTAAATAATTTTATTCATAATCTTATTCACGTAGTAAATAAGAAAAATTAGATCGTAGCAACGTCGCATTTTTACAAGCAAACGAATATAGACACAAGTTATCTGTCAAGATATTTATACAAAAAAAAAATGTTTGCACAAATGTGTTATAAAGGAAAATATAATGTATCAAAAGTACAGTTTTAGCAAAAAAAAAAAAGTATAAAGCGCTCTCACGAAGAAACGACAAGAATACGAAAGATAATCTTCTTGTTCGTTCTCAAAAGTGCAACATTGCCATATCTAATAAAGGGTGTCTCAAAATGACCTGACATTTTAATTTATTAATAAAACATATTATTTATTTGAAAAGTACACATGTTTTTAGTTTAATATAAAGTACAAACATGGAGGTTATATGTGGAACACAATATCCGATAAATGGCCGCCTCGACTCTGTTTGCAAACGTTCATTCTTTTGACAAAATTTTCAATGACATTTTGGCATAATTGCGGACTAATTTCATTAATGGTACGTCTAATTTCTTCCTTCAACTCCGGAATGGTCTGTGGGTCATTGGCATACACTTTTCCTTTCAGAAAACCCCAAAAACAGAAGTCCAATGGCGTCAAATCGCACGATCTTGGTGGCCAATTCACGTCGCCGGGGCGCGAAATAACACGACCATGAAACTTCGTCTGCAATAACTGCATTGTTTCGTCCGCAGTGTGGCAGGTTGCACCATCTTGTTGAAAGAATATGTCTTCCAAGTCTATGCCGTTCAATTCTTCCCATAAGAAGTTGGTTATCATGTCACGATAACGAACACCATTGACGGTAACCGCATTTCCCGCAGCATTCTCGAAGAAGTACGGCCCAATCACTCCTCCAACCCAAAATCCGCACCAAACAGTGACTCGTGGTGGATGCATGGGAAGCTGTTGGATCACTTGTGGATTTTCAGTCCCCCAAATTCGACAGTTTTGTTTATTCACGTACCCATTAAGTTGAAAATGCGCCTCATCGCTGAAGATGATTTTCTTCGAAAAATCACCATCGATTTGTTGATGCTCCAATATCCAATTGGCGAATGTACGGCGCTGCGCATGGTCTGCTGGTTGCAGTTCTTGTGTCAATTGGATCTTGTAAGCACGTAAATGCAGATCTTTCGTCAAAATTCGCTGCACAGAGGATCTTGAAATGTCCAATTGCTGAGCACGATGGCGAATCGAGGTGGAAGGACTTTCGTCAACACTCGCACTCACTGTGGCTATGTTTTCATTCGACCGACCAGTACGAGAACGGCCACTGCTTTTCGCGGTTAAAAGTGAGCCACTAACCTCAAATTTTTCTATTAAATTCACCACAGTATTGCGAGATGGTGCGTTATGATGACCAAAAGACGTGCGGACTTTTCGAACCGTCTCTGCAAAATGTTCACCATATTTGTAGTGGATTTTCACAATTTCTATGCGTTGCTCGATCGTGTAATTCTCCATGACTAAACCTCAATACTTCCTAATGCCAGTTGTTAAAGGTTAGTACGTTACGTTCGCTGCAAAAAAAATGGCGCGCAATTTTAAATGTCAGATCATTTTGAGACACCCTTTAGATGATCTCAATTTTCGATAGAATGTATAAAATCAAGATTTTTTTATTGATTCAAACTTTAATATCATGCGATAAATATTTGCGTTGTTGTTACATGAGTTTCTTCACAAATTTAACTATTTGAGACTCGTTTTTTATTACTTTTTTGAATATGATTTCGAAGTTACAATATATAAAAATTCATGTCGCATCATAGCAAAAATAGCTATACTACAATGCTAGATATAGAAAAATCTACTATGTTTGATCGATTATGTATCAGAAACGATAATTTGTCTTTTACAGGCATATGTATTAATGTCTAAATTACTTGAGATGAAAATTTCAAGACATTCTTAATGTATTTTGGGATACAATTACCTTAAATCAGTATAGTTGCGATTTTTGAGTTTCATTCCTTATCCTCAAAATAACATCAAAACTACTCTAAGCTCAAAAGGAAATCAGAAAATTAAATTGAATCTACAATATCTTTAAGGCATATTATTTCAATATCAATGCATTACAAAAATATATAATATAAAAATATATTTTTTTTTTTTTCGAGTTTTAAACCTTTAGCAGGAGCACCACCTTGCATTCAACACTCAAGACAGAACTATATTTAAAAATAAAAAAATTAATGATTTTATAACGGAAAATTATCTGATTAATGAGTTCTATTATTATAATAAAATAATTTTTATAATTTTACATTTCATTATAATTTATTGAGTAACATGATTACAGTAATTTACAATTTAATATGTTATTTAATGTATTATTTATCTAATAAAATTGTTAGATCGATAATCTAGATAATCTTTTAGTTTTTTTACCTCTTACGTTCGACACTATTAATTTATCATGTAAAGTAGCACTATTTTATTTTTTACACTATTAATTCTTTAACTAATTAAAACTGTATTAATTAAACGTTTTATAAAGTCATATTAAATAACAAAAAAGTATTATTCTAACTCAATTTGCTTGTTTTCTGGTCGTTTATATTTGATATGTTCGTAATTCAAATCAACGAGCTTAGTTTCTATTCTTTTTTATTAAATATAACATTTAGAGATTTTAATATATATTAATCTTACAAATGCAAGAAAAGATGTGAAATTATTTGAATTTAAGATAATTACACCAGAACGCTAAAAATGGACAAAACTTCTTCATACCTTTAATATATAGAATGTAAAACGCATTGTAAGCTTTATTTCAAAAAGTAACTGTACCAAAAATATAATCTAAAATAATTAGAAAAAATTTTTTTATTTTTGATAATTCTATAACACTAAAGTCACGTTTGTGAATTGTCGCTTGCTAATGGAATCGTCAGTCGTTGCTTGTTTATACCTGTTATAATATTAACGTTTTGCATTATTAATTCACAATGTGATGTTTTATTTT